TTTAAACTCACGGATAACATGCAGTGACGTTGTCCACGATGCAATTGTGCAATTAGATACAAGAATTTTTTTTTAATAATATAAGTTGAATATTTCTCGGACTCCAGAATAATGCACCAAAGCTGCCGCGCTACTGCCATCGATACTCCTTATACCTCGTTTAAATTTGTTTAAACTCACGGATAACATGCAGTGACGTTGTCCACGATGCAATTGTGCAATTAGATACAAGAATTTTTTTTTAATAATATAANAATATAAGTTGAATATTTCTCGAACTCCAGAATAACGCTTCAATGCTGCCCCGCTACTGCCATCGATATTCCTTATACCTCGTTTAAATTTGTTTAAACTCACTGACAAGAAGCAGTCACGTTGTCCACGATGCAATTGTTCAATTAGATACAAGAATTTTTTTTTTATAATATAAGTTGAATATTTCTGGGACTTCAGAATAACGCTTCAATGCTGCCCCGCTACTGTCATCGATATTCCTTATACCTCGTTTAAATTTGTTTAAACTCACTGATAAGAAGCAGTGACGTTGTCCACGATGCAATTGTTCAATTAGATACAAGAATTTTTTTTTATAATATAAGTTGAATATTTCTCGGACTCCAGAATAACGCTTCAATGCTGCCCCGCTACTGCCATCGATATTCCTTATATCTCGTTTACATTTATTTAAAAATAAAGTCTCGTAAACAATTGTAAAATTAAAAAAGGATCTACCTAAATTATAAACAAAGCGCACTAAAAGACTTTCGAATATCAAGTTTACTACCCTTAGGTACTAAATGTGTGTGAATTTCTTTAGCATCGTGAGATTGCTTTCCAGGGAGTTGGTGAATAATTAACGTTATACTCTACTGTTTCTTATTCACCGTGCCATGGCATTAATTATGCATCTACCTTAAATTTGCTAAAAGCGCAGTTTCATGTTGGCAAGGCGAGTGCATACAGAAATATGTAATAATTGTACGCTCAACTGCGAATTTAGTACCAGGCATCGTACACACCAGGTAGAGTAGAATTTATAATTTGAAATGATGAAAAGTAATTAAAAAATCGCAGGGAAAGAGAAAGAACTTTTGTTGAATCCGACAAAAGCTTTAGAATATTATTCTGACCACGTCCTGCCGGAATTTGGAGAGTTCTCTATGACCAGGGATTGAAAAAACCGAGGAGATAAGGAGAGCGCGATGAAAAAGAGAGCGAACGTCGGGAGTAGGAAAAGCTCGACGGGATTCCGCGTCCGAAATTTCGGGAATTGCGGAAACTCGGAGCGTCCCTGGAGAGGTCCGTCGTGGCTTTATCCGGCAATTTGTTTATAAAATATGCAGATCGAGTCCCGGGGTGAGTTCGTAATGCAGTTCCGGCCGGGCCCGGAAGTTTGCCGAGGGCCGGAGAAGAGGACGCTCACGGTCGGTTTTGCGGGGGTTCCGCGGGGTTTCGGGAATTCTGCGGGGCTGCAATTTGCCCCCGAACTACCCCACAACGCGGGGGTGCGAAATCGAAGGGGGAACGTGCTCGGGACGATCGGCTAGATTGAAACTGTCAAACTTCCGGCCAAGTTGCGTCGCGCCCTCGGGCCCCGACGTCCCCGTCGAGATTTATTTAGTCCCGCTCCGGATTCCGGACACGTTCCGCACGAAAGTCACCCCCAACACCTTCCTACACCCTCGTTCATCCACCGATTAATAATAATCGACTGGCGGCTTAGTGCAGGCGATAAAAAACAAATCCACCCAGGCCAGACCCTAACTTATACGAAAAAATGAAAAAGCAGGATGGGCAGGAAAATCACAGACGTGGTGATGATCATCCTGGCGGTGATTACTTCACCGTTTAGTCAAGGTAACCACAAGGTACCAGTTGTCGTAAGCTGATGCTTATAATAAACCGAACAGTTAATATTGCCATTCTGACTGATAATCACTACTGCGATTTTTTAGCGCATGGCCATAGTAATTGTAATCAAATTATTTTCTTTCCGGTGGAAACTCGAACAATAAGAACGATAACCCAAACGATCGCCGATAGTAGTCTACGTTGGGAACTGTTGAAAAGGGAGAGAAAAATATAACTAGGAAAGTGGGAAAATAGAAGCAACTCGGCATCCCTTTAAACCTGACGGAAAAGTCGAACATCCGAGATTCCCAGTTCGGGGAGACGAAAACGAGAAGGGAAATGCCTTTCCCCTCGGGTAGGAAATGTAGGAGGAGAGACGGAAGAGAAACGAGCTGTCGGAGGACTGTATTGAATTCCTCCCGGATTCGATATTGTTTCCATAATTTTTTCTTCCCCCCTCCGCGCCAGCGGGTGCAAAAGGACAGGGCGGAGTAAAGGAGGAAAAGGGAAGGCGGTCTCGAAGCCCCTTCTTCCTTCTCTCTTTCTCTTCTTCCAGACCCCCAAGGATCGTCCACCTTCCGCGCGAGGAGAGCGCGTTTCCGGTCTCCCGCTTCCGGGGCGCGGAAAACGTCAGGAGAAGACGCGAGACACGTCGCGAGCTCCGGAAGGAAAAGCCCCCACGACTTGGCAGGCCTCCCCTTTGTCGGCCCCGATTTTCCTCCTCGTCGAGCTCGCTTTTCCCCGCGACTTTTCTCGGCCTCGGAGAGCTTTCCCCGTGCGGGTTTTCGCGCGTCGCGGACCGCGGAAAAACGAGGATTTCCCCCGCCGGACTGCGGATCGGATTTCGACCTTGCGGAGGAAAACAGGAAGGGGGAGCTGGAATTAAATTCACTTTTTTAAGCTTATTTCTTATACAAGCGTTATTCCACGAAGACATTGTTACTATAAAAGAGAAAAGAAAATTTACGTTAAAATTTTCGTGCGCGCAAAATTCTGGCCAAATTTTGCGTGGTGTGATAAAAATTTCCTGGTTTCCCTAAATACGTCCATATTGGGCACATATGTGTGGACATCTTTGTTGGTTGGATAAACAATTTCTAACGACGATTCGTATCTAACGATAATCTCGTTATCGTTGCTTTTCAATGCACTACTTTTTTCCGCCCCCTCTCTCCCCAGTGTAACGATATTCCCCTCACCCTGCCGTCCATTTGTCAGTTTACTCGGACAACGCGACAACGCCGAAACCGGCGAGTTACAGCCGCCCCCGCGTTTGCTCCTGGCCATCAATCTCATTGTTTCCGCCTCGACAATATTTTCCTTCCGCCTGGAGTACCTTCGGCGTGGAATCGACGCTTCGACAACCCAGAGAGGAACTACGCAGTCCATGAATACGTTCACCCCCTATCCCGAACACCGAGAATTATTATCGGAGTGATTATAAAGGAAATTGCATTAAAGGCATATATCAAAGTATTTTCATATATGCATAGATATCGTTCAGAGATGAAATTTAATCCTACAGGAATCCACTGGGCCGCAAGGAATTCTTGGATTACAACAATCGAAATCTGTTACAGGGAATGAAACCACGACGCGCCTTCAAATCTATTAATTTCTCACCCTGTGTATCTACAAACATGTCCATGAAAATCCTCAGGAGTAGTACTTAGTGACACGTACCGAGGATATTTTTATGGATATTTATCCATAATTCCATAAGGAATTATTAACACATTCGCGACCGCCGACGTGAATTCACGTCATTTTAAATTCTATTCCTGATTGCCGCTGACGTGAATTCACGTCATTTTAAATTCTATTCCTGGTTGCCGCTGACGTGAATTCACGTCATTTTAAATTCTATTCCTGATTGCCGCTGACGTGAACCACGTCCATAACGATACACGATACAAGTTTGCGGCGACCAGTTTCGGAATTTCATTATTTTCGCCGGTACTCAGTATTTTAAATTCGATAAAATTTTCCGGTTGCGAGTGTGTTAACACTAGGTTTACGGGCGTTTTTTATATACCCATTTTTCTACGAGCACCCGTCAAATTGACGGGTAAACAAAGACACGCATTTTCTTTAAAAAATCGATTTATTCAAATTAAGTCTGTATTAAACAACACTAGGCTTTACGTTTAAATAAATGATTAATAATTAAAAAGTCCTTTTTTAAAAATTATCACGGAAATGATTGGAATGCTCGTCCTCTCATCCTCGGACTCAGAACTAGAAAGAAAGCGCATCCTTTTCTTGCTACGACACCCTTTCAAGAAGTTTTCCTCTTCACTATCCGAAGATCATTCTATTTCTTCACTTTCAATGCAAACTTTCACTCTCATCTTCGCCTTACACTCACTGCAACGAAGCAAATATATATGGACTGTTTATGAAATTAGCTAGTCCGCCAATTTGACGGGTTTCGTAGAGATAAGTATACTACATACAGATTTTAATAATTAGATGGCTTAGGAAAAAATAATTGCGTGCACAAATTCTTTGGATAAAATGATTAATTTACGATACAAAAATGGTTAAAATTAATCCTATGGTTTTTTCGGTATTTCTTTTTGAAGTTTGAATTCCGTCAAATTGACGGGTCCCGTAAACCTAATGTTAATGGCAAATCTCTGGGGATTACTTAGTACAGGGTATTTCTTCTTTTCGATAGAGCTGGGAATCCTGGCTCGTCATGCTTGTCGACATTTTCCTTCCTGATCGGATTTTTCACGCCTCGAGTGGCTCGGTGCATCGGTCGGGAGTGCATCGTTTGACGCGGTGCAGTCCGCGTCTTCCGGCGCGCCGCACGTGTGCACCTCTCTGTCTCTTCGGATGCACTTCCTGAAGGGGCCCGTTAACCGCATCATCGATACCGGACCACGTCGACATCGGGACGTTACCGTAAACGGGAGTGCATCGTGCGCCCGTATCGGGGAAAAGCGGCTCCCTATGTGGGAATAACGATTTCAATGCACCAGCCCGCCGGCACACGTTCCGAAATAAACGGAAGCCTGCTCCAAACGGGCCGGTTTGCATGCGCCGTCGAAAGGAGGACTCCACTGAATACCAAGGCGTCCCTAATCGCCCCCAGGTCCAATACCACGTCCGGATTCCGCGGAGGAAATCGAATGAATACCCACCTCCTGGACTTTCCTGTGCACGACGATCCTGTGCCACTGGTTGTCGTCGAAGCGCACCCTTAGGGGCTTGATGTGGAGGTCCAGCCTGCCGTTCGCCAACGTCATCCCGATCGCCGTCCCACCGTCCCGTAAAGACACCGTCAAGTAGTCGCCGCCTTCCCCTGGAAATGAAAGGTCCTTTAAGTAATCCTTAAGGTACCTTCTCGTTCGCTGCAAGGTACAATAAACTACCCCGATGTACTCGCAATTCCTTCGGTAACATTTTTAACCAATAAGGCGTTTCATTGCATGCAGTTATCCCGATCGCCGTTCCACCATCCCGCAAGGACATCGTTAAATAGTTCTGTAAGTAATTAAGACACCTTAGCGCTCGCTGCATGGCTGCGAAATTAAAAACAGTAAAACGATGGGTTTGTTCGCTGCAAGGTACAATAAACTACCCCGATGTACTCGCAATTCCTTCGGTAACATTTTTAACCAATAAGGCGTTTCATTGCATGCAGTTATCCCGATCGCCGTTCCACCATCCCGCAAGGACATCGTTAAATAGTTCTATAAGTAATTAAGACACCTTAGCGCTCGCTGCATGGCTGCGAAATTAAAAACAGTAAAACGATGGGTTTGTTCGCTGCAAGGTACAATAAACTACCCCGATGGACTCGCAATTCCTTCGGTAACATTTTTAACCAATAAAGCGTTTCATTGCATGCAGTTATCCCGATCGCCGTTCCACCATCCCGCAAGGACATCGTTAAATAGTTCTATAAGTAATTAAGACACCTTAGCGCTCGCTGCGAAATTAAATACAGTAAAACAATGGGCTTGTAATTCTGAGAGAAAAAAAAGAAACAGAGTAAATTAATCTGCAAAAATGTGGTAGAAAAGAAGAGCCGATTCAACTTATAATTAGTTACACCATATACTTGCCTACGCAAGTTGCATTAACTCTGAAAAGTAATTTTAACGTGAATGATTAACCATAAGAAAAATAAAAAGCCTTTTCCGAAACGGGCCCTTTTCATTACATGAGAACTTCCACGTACTACCGTGCCGTAAGAAATTTCACTTAAAAAAGCAAGTACCCGACCAAGTCGTTCCGCTATTGGCATAAATTCACCTCCGCCCTTCGCGCCCCTCGTCGTAATTAGCGTCACGTCTTACTTGGCTTTTCACTTCTTTTTCCCCTCGGTTTTCTTTTTCCTTTCCTCGTTTCTAAAGCCCCTCTTCAGGCTAGCCGACTAACCCAGTAATAGGACGCGACCGCTGTGGATTCTTTCTCCGACCCCGCCGTGACTTGACCGCATACTAATTATCCTGCGGTGTAAAAGATGCAGACGGTGTTTCCGCCTTAATTGCCGGGCTCGCGGCGCGGAAAAAAAATTGCGGAAGTCTCGCGAGAGATAGGGCATCCCCTGAAAATCATAGGTTGCCCAGCCAGATGAGAAGGGAAATTAAGTATGGGTCATCGAACGTGCAAGAGTTCTGAGAGGGCGAGGAGCCCAAAGAGCAGCTGCAACTGCGGCCGAGCCGCATCGGTGCAGTTTCGCCCGCGTAATGGCGTCATTGCGGAAACCGCGGGCCGGAGATTCGCTACAGGGTCCCGTGGTTCTCGTTTATCCTTGGAATAAACCACCCCCTAGGATTGCGCGTCCGCCATTGCGGGGAAAGGACGCCTCGAGGCGGCGATGTCCTCTTCGTCCTCGACGTCGTCTTCGTCCTCTCCGTCGACGGGCGAATTGTTCCTGCTTGCGGATGCGAAACGCCCCATTCGCTGGTGAACGCGTAAATCTCGCGGCCGCGTGCGGAAATCCGCCGCCACCCCTCGGGGAACACTACCCTGGAGGGGGTCTTGCCCTCCCCCTCTGGAGCCAGGGCACGCACCCCTCTCTCTTCGGCGAAAGGTTGCTCGATTTACCCGAATGTCCTTTTTGGAATCCCTCTCGGGGTGTATTTTCGGCGAGGCACTCGGATGACGGATAATTGCGGTGCTCCCGTGCGAGAGGGTGACAATCGAGGGGATGTTTTCGCGCAAAGGGTTGTTTGTTGATCTGGCTCGTCCTCGGGCGTTAATTACTCGTCCAGGAAGGAGCGATATCGAGCTCCGATGTGTTGCCCCTGATGGGATCACCTGACTGGGAGAAAAAGCAAACTCTGCAAGAGAGTAACCCTTAGAGTCTTAAGTACACCCTTGGCACCCCGTAAATGTTGGATAAAAGTGGTGTACTACCCTCCGAAAAAAAATTCCCTGAACCAAAGAAATATTTCGTTAACTCGAAGAATAATTACGACGCTTTTGTTTTACTTTTTATATTTAATTCCTCATATGCGTAAACATTTACGTTGTACCACTTCTTTATTCCCTCAATGAATTTCTGACTATTTAAATGAAAGTGACATGAATAAAAAAGAATTATTATCCCGAGATCAACGGGCACCGAGCTTGTAGGGGCATTTCGTGAGAAAATAATGAAGAAAAATTAGTAATATCCCTAATAATTCCTTTCAACTTGGAAGTTTGACATCTGACGACCGCGCGTTGATATATTTTTTTTTCCCTCCCTTGGATACGAGGAGGCAAAAAGCTCGATAGCAAAGAGATGGAGCGAGGTACACGAAAAGTCGATACAACGCAGGGCCGAGATGTAAAATTCCGACACGAGGGTTGACGTAAGGGCGAGCCGAGAGGGTCGTTATTTTTTAATGGGGCAGCCTCCGAGACTGAAATATCCTGGAAGTCGGTATAAAATATTCCCGGATAAATAGCCGGGTTCCCTCGCGCGGGGTGTAACCTGAAGTCAATTAGCGGCGCTCCTTCGGGACCTCGGAAGCTCCCTCGGGACTCGCCCGGCATCGATCGGGGGTGAGTTCACCCCTTCAGCGATTCGAAGGGGGAGGCGCGGACAATGAGTGCGCGAGACGGGCCCACGAATATCCGGAAGGCGGCCAAAGGAACGGCCGCTCCTTTCATCCCGAAGGATCGACCTCGCGGGAAACAAATTGCCAGGAACGAATTCAGATCCCTCGCGGAGCCGCGAGCGAGCTCCCGGTTCCCGCGGGAGAGCTTCCCGGAAAGCTCGCCCTGAACTCGGCCAATCGAAGTCAATTCCTCGAGCTTCCTTTTTGGCCTGAACACACCGTAAAGGGAGTCTTCCCGACTGCGCGGAAGTTCGACGGAATTTCTCGGGAATCGGGATGAAATTCTACACCGAGACTTCTCCTCGAATAGCGAAAGTATAGTTGAATTCGGATCGATGGGAAATTAATAAGTAGCGGATAAAAATCGAGGGCATCCTTACCGCGAGGTTGAGAAGTCAGGGGTTAAGGTGAAGTGAAACATCCTTCAAATCAGTCGATTCGAATACAACACTTTTTTTTAAGGGTATTAGGCCAAACTGTCCAAAGCTCTGACACATCATTCCTGATCAGCTAAGAATTGTCCTGACACATTAAAAATTTGGATCTTTCAAAGAAATTTTTTAACTCAGTCCAGACCAGAACCAAAATGGCGTCGAGCTCTCATATTTTCATCAATATACAATTATCGAAGGCTCTGATATGAGAATCGAAAGGGTCAGGACAACTTTACGACAATTTTGAACACTCTGGTAATCGATAAACTCGCATTTGAACGGGATAAAGGCAAAAAAAGTGTTGTATGCGCTTCTTTGCTAAAACGATGGTAATACGAGGTCTCGGAGTGAATATTTAATTGACCTGGAAATCACAGATGGCGCAGGGGGTCCCTCCGCAGTCAATTAGGGCCCAGAAGGCATGAATCCAGAGGATTTATGGAGTTTTACTTCGATTTCTTCATAATTATTGTATGAAAACGACAGGTGGAATATGCCATTTGGTACAATACACAATATAATTCGACACAGCTGTCAATATAAAAACGAACGTCGGCAACGTAGGCATTTAGAAAAATCGTCTTTATCGACGTTGATCAAGTTCCTCGACGTGTTTCACTTCACCTTAAGCGTTCAATTACGGCTACGTAACTATACCTCCTGTACCGACACCTCTATATGATGCTATATTATACATAAATACAATACTCGTCCGTCACTAACAAGGAAACATTCCCAAGTGTCCGCCTCCGATCTTATTGAGTTTCATATATGTTGAAGAACACAAAAATCTAAGAGACACGTGTTTTTTTATATCTGCAATGGTCCACGTTTAAGGGGTGAAACAACCCCCCCAAAGTTTAGCGAAAAATCGGTTTTTTAAATATTTTTCGTAGAAGCAGTGGAGGGATTTCGACGAAACTTTGTATAAACGTATTCTGTATAAGGACGGTGACAACACAATATTGTTCAGTAATGTTGCACCCCCTCAAGGGGGTGAACTACCCTTCAGGTGACATTTTTTTGTAATATCCATTAAACAAGCACTCCTACTTAAGTTCCACTTACGCGATGTGAAGAAAGGGGTCCACTATAGTGGCGCTTCGTAATAAAATGTTAGGTGAAGCTACTATACTGATGATTCGTATTTCAGTGGATCAGGCGACACTCACTATAGTAGCGCTCCGTGAGCTAAGGATCAAGAAGAGGGGTGGGAAGGCGGAAGGGACGATAATTTAAAATTCGCCCTAATTTTACAATTCACCCTCATTTTATAATTAGGACTCACCCGAGTAGAAGAGGAGCCCGTTGGGCTGTCTGGTCTTGAAGTGGAGGCTGACGGACTCCTGGGTGCTGAGGACCGGGTCCCCCTTGCTGAGGTCTATCGTCAGGTACTCCGTGCCGCGGAAGGAGGCCTCGGAGGGGGCTTTGTCTGTAAGAAAAGGACGGATTAAAAATTCATCCCCCCGGGTTTCGTTAAACTGCGAAACTCGCGGCCATTTCGCCGCTCGCTGATACTTCGCGAGGTCGAGGAATTTCCCGGCGCAAAACTGCCGAAGGATAACTAGCTCGTGCAGAGTCTCGGAGGAAGGGGAAGATCTTTAATTCACATTCAGAAATTAAGCGGGGGAAATCGTTATTAATAACTTTCATCGAGAGATTTGCATACAGGGCGGACATGCGACGGTGAGTGGAGTTCATCTAGCTCGAGATCTAGCTCATGTAATTTCTCTACGTGTCCTGTACTCGCGGGATTAACGTTTTGCGGTAAAATTACCGTGCGCGGTACTAATTAAGGGCCCGACGACAGAACGTAAAAATAGCGTCACCGCGTCGCTCAGAAAGTGCATCGCGAGGAAATTCACCCCGGATATGCAGTTTTCCCCCGACGTGCCGGGGTGGGCACGCAGAGGCAGCAGCCCCAGTGTCTCTCCGAGATTCGTCCCCACCCTTTCTGAAAATTTTCTTTAGCCCTTCCACGAATTAATTCTACGAAGAAAGATGTACGTTCTCATGGACTGTTTAACTCGAAAGCATTTCCGCTTTGACAAGAATTTTCACTCGTTGGACAAAACCGCCCCCGGTGATCGTGGATGATCTTTCCGCTTTAAAATACCCACGAGGGGAGAGGGGGTCGCCTCGTCGCGAGAGAGATCTCGCCAGGGGTGAAATCATCCCCCGAAGCGACGAGGTGCGACGACGCGTGCACGGGAGGCGGGCGGGGGGGCGGCTCGCACCCCGGCGTCTCCCGGAGTCCTGCCGGGGGGTGACACCCCCTCGCGCGGCGTCCGGACTGGCTCTCCTCATTATTTCCCATCTTCCCATTGTTATCGGGCGGGCAAACAAAAGTGCGCATCCCTGCGAACCGAGGAAAAAGGCCGCGAGACGGCTTAATGGCCTTGGCGGCTCGCCAAATCGCGGACAGGCTTGAATGCCCGTACGGGCTTGTCGATTGAAACGTTCATTACTTCCGCAAATCATCCCCGATTCGACGACCCCTTCCCACGCCCAGTCGAGGGGGGTTCTTTATCGCCGCGACATTAGCGCGAGAAAGAAAGACCCTCGAGGAGTGAAAAAGAACCGGGCCCGATCGACTCCCATCGAGAACCACCCTCTGGTTCCAACCCCCCGGAAATCGGTGAGAGGGGGCTCTCAAATTTTTCCACATTCCATGAGAGTTCTTTTTAGAGTGCTTTTGAAGCGAAACTTCGATAATATATAATTACTATTTTCGATCATCGTCGTATTACGGTACTTACAAAATCTGCATACAAATTCTCTCACGCATTGTTAAGAATAATTAGTGGCATGAAATAATTCTCTTTAAATGAAAACTTTCACTATCGTTTCTTTTTCCATTTCTCGGGGGATGAGAGAGCATTTCGCGGAATTAGAATGTCTCGACTCGACTTACCCCCCTTCCTCCCCCGAGGAGGGGGTTGTTTCCACGGCAAAGTGCTCGCACGCGTTGCGGCCGTTAACTGCTCGTCGGGGGTGCATTATCATCGTGTGTGTCATTAGGTTGTGCCGGCTCGACAAAGCAACGACGTGCCGCCCTTCGTTCCACCCCCCTTTGGCTCCTCAACCCCTTTGTGCCGAGGGAACCGCGAGCACGAGGGAGCTCTGAATTCGCGTAACACTTTAACTGCATTACGCACGTAGTTTACGCGAACAGCGTTCCCCATTCATCGTCCCCCCGGTGGCGGGTACCGCGACCCTCTGCGAAACTTTCGTGACCTCCCTTAAGGGAGGTGGAGGGGTATCGCGGCATTGCCCCCCGCGAAGAGCCTCGCATCGATGCCGGGGGTGGAACGACTCGAGGGAATTGTCCTCCTATATACATAACGTTTGCCAAGGTGCAGTTTGCAACCCCCCGGGATTTGCATTTTCGCGCCCTTCGGATTTCTGCAACCGGCAGTTTAGTTGACTCCACCTCGAGGGGGGTCTTAAAGATTCCTCCGGGGTGCAGGAGGGAAATTCTAACAAGGAAGGTTCCTGAGGTGTCCCCCTCCGATTTTGTTCATTTTTAAATATGTTATAAAGGACTAAAATCTAAGGGACCCGTGTTTTTTTTTATCGGCGGATAAACACTTTTAGAGGATGAAATCAGGCTTCAAGGTTGGCCGTGCAAGGGGGTGAGTTGGCTGTTTCATATAGAAGCACTTGACCGATTTTCATGAAACAACCGTCAAAATGTAGGGAACGAAGAATTATGAAACATGCATTTGGAATTTTTCGAAAAAAATTAATTTTTAAGGGGTGAGCCACCCCTTTGAATACTTCTTTTACCCCTTACATGAGCAGTAATTGTTTTATCCAAATGAAACTTTTTTTGTATTGTTCTGGTCTATAAATTAACCAAGTTTCATTTGGAAAGAGCCCATTACTGCTCGCGTAAGGGGTAAAAGAAGTATTCAAAGGGGTGGCACACCCCTTAAAAATGAATTTTTTCGAAAAATTCCAAACGCATGTTTCATAATTCTTCATTCCCTACATTTAGACGGTTGTTTCATGAAAATCGGTCGAGTGCTTCTATATGAAACAGCCAACTCACCCCCTTGCACGGCCAACCTTGAAGCCTGATTTCACCCTCTAAAAGTGTTTATCCGCCGATATAAAAAAACACGGTTCCCTTAGATTTTAGTCCTCTATAACATATTTAAAAATGAACAAAATCGTAGGGGGACACCTCAGGTCCCTTCCTTGTAAGAGATACTCATAAATAAGGTCTGCAGGCACGAAACCGACTGGCTCGTGGAAAATGGAGTCCTCGAGGGAGCTTCCAGTTGGTGCATCGAGGATTGACCTCACGTCCCCAATCACTGGGGGAATTCCGCCCCTGGTAAACTGCCAAGTGGCGGACTCCTCTGAAAGGGGTTTAATCGAATCAACCGAAGCACTGCATTAATTGGAAAAAGAGAGGAGGGATCGGGATGGGCCCTCGCGTTATGCGCTTTGCCCGATTTGGTCGCTTCGAGGGCTCGGCTAGGGGCACTCTAAACGCCGGTGAAAAGTCGAGATCATCGGGGTACGTTCGTTCATTCGCACATTATTCCCTCGGAGAGAGAGCCGCCAAAGCGTCGATTGTTACCGGGTGTTTGCGACCGCGTCAATTTGGCCGCACCGCTCGACGGGGACCGCACGTGCCGCGACTCCGACAATACGGCGAACGACGCGTCGTTACGCCGACGGGCCGCATTCGGGATCCGGTGCAGGTGCAACGCGCAGAGTGCATTATTACTACGGCTCGGAGCGTCCATTAGAAACCCAACGACGAGCAGTCATTGCTCGACCCCTGATCGGATTCGCGGGGAGATCCGCTCCGTGGCCACCCCCTTGATCGTGATCGTGAATCGCACCCCCGTGACGATGGGCACCGAGGGGGGTAATTAAGGTGACGCGAAGTGACGTCGAAGAGGTTTTGTTTATAAAACTTTTCTCCCAACTCGGTTTACCGAAAAGTTTGAAAAACCCTACAACGTGAATAGGGAGACTATAAGGAAGGTCCTGAAACTCATGAAATTTCAATTCTTCTGAAATTTCTTTATAGGTATTTTAAAAGTAGTATATAAAAAATGAAATTTCCCGAGTCTCAGGACCTAGTTTAGGGTAATAAAACTTTTCTCTCAACTCGATTTACCGAAAAGTTTGAAGAACCCTACAACATGAATAGGGAGACTATAAGGAAGGTCATGAAACTCATGAAATTTCAATTCTTGTCAAATTTCTTTATAGGTATTTTAAAAATAGTATATAAAAAATGAAATATCCCGAGTCTCAGGACCTAGTTTAGGGTCTCCATATTCACGTTTTAAAGTATGAAACGATTTGAGACACTCGGTTTGTAGAAAAAGGTTTTATGAACGATTGAGCTTTCGTATGACGCTTTCACATCCCCTTAAGCGTCTAGATAGTGAGAAAGCACTCTCCCTTTCTCCAGGGAAATGTAACCGTTCTTTATCGACGAGAATGTACCCCTCTTCCTCATCGTGAACGCACCCTCTGAATGAGTTCGATTGGTCGGCTCGCGACATTTCGGGGAAATATCGTCTGTATATTGTGTGATATTGTATACTGAAATATTGTCTGCTCGGGACCGATGTAGGTCGGGGTGAAAAGCGGCTCGGATTCGATAATTCCGTTTCTGGACTCGGGAGAACTGCCGAAGACAGAGGAGGGAAAAAATATATAAGTACCGACGCGGTTTCTCGGGAGATGCGGTAGGTCGGGGTGAGGGGTGCCATCTCGGATAAGGGGAGCTCGTATAATCTCGAACCCTACGGGCCAAGGATCGCCCCCCACTGTGAGAGGGCGGAGATTTTATTTCGGCACCCTCCCCTCTACCTCCCTGGAAAAAGCGGAGGAACGGTGAGAATTTTCCCAGCACCTCGGGGGAGGGGTGGCCCTCGGTTTACGAGATCTCGAGCGAGTACCGCGGCGATTCGATAAATCGAGCCAGTACCGCCACCAATAAAAATACGCCCCCGCACCGGCGGAGTCAAATTTAGTGAACGAGATTCCAATATTCCCGCCACCCCGGGCGGGGGCGGCTCCTCGCGGATATTCGGAAAGACTGTCGATAGCGCCAACGTAAATACCAGCTCTTCTCCGTTCACGCGACTGCAACCCTTATCTGGCTCAGCCCCTCAACCCTTCCCTCCCGCCCCTTTGCCCCATTTCCCTGTACCCCTGAAAACGGGTCACCCACGTAGATCCTCTTGGAACTCCAAGAGGGGTGACCACCCCTTCTCCCGCGGTCCCAAATCCACGGTCCAAAATCAAAATTCAACAACGAAGGGGGATTAACCCTGCTCTCCCTTTTTCTTTTTCCTGTGCCCCTAATTCTACCTAATCTGGAAGATTATCCGTCAAAGCGCGCGCATGTTCATTTTTTTTCTCTTTTTTTTTTTCTCTCCCTTTTTGACGGCACGA